GCTTATCTCCCTTACCCCCACCCTTCCTTCCCACCTCTCTCCCCTCCCCCCTCCCTCCCTCTCTCCCTTACGCTCCCCTCCCCTCCCCTTCCCACCTCTCCCCCCTCCCTCCCCTCCCCTCCCCATCCCACCTCTCTCTCCCTTACCCTACCCTCCCCTCCCCTTCACCCCCCTCCCCGACGGCAGCGAGCGAGCAGACGAGCGCCGTTGCTGACTCGCCAGCCTCCGCGAGAACCAAAACACCTCAGGAGTCCTTGAACAGCCCAGCAGCCAACAGGAAAACCGAGGCATCCACAGTAAGTAACGCCTAAGTAACGAAGCTTAAAAGGAAGGAAAAAAGGAAAAAAGAGAAAAAAAGAAGAAGAAGAAGAAAAAAGAAAAAGAAGAAAAAAAAAGATAAATAAGAAGAAGGAAAAAGAAGAAGAAGAAGAAGAAAACAAGAAGAAAAACAAGGAACTCGAGCCTCGTCCCTCGTGGAATGACGTAACTCGTCACCGGGTGCCAGGTGTCCCTCTCCCACCCCTATCCCCCCCCTCCCCCAGCAGTGCCGACGGTCGCGATCAACAACAAGATGCTGAAGATGAAGAAGGTTTCGTCACATTCTCATCAACGAAAAAAAAGGAAAGACAAGAGAGGAGAGACAAGCGCCATTGCCCTGAATAGAGGCTGATGGACAAGTTAAAAAAAAAAAAATGTATCAAGTCTAAGAGCACGCAAATTAAAAAAAAAAAAAAAAATATTCATAACTACTATATATTACTTTAACGGTAACTTGTAAGAGGCCGAGAAATAAACCTTGAACTATTCTTAGACTCCGTTGCCTTCCCAAGAAACGTCAAGTTCTTTCCGAACAGAAACAAGTACAAACGTGATCAGTGGGTTTGACAAGACACTACCGTCATCAAGAACGAAGGTAAGAATAGATGCCATGAACGAACAGTCTCTCCTTAGATATTTTGATGACATAGAGATGCTCATTAAGGGAGAGAAATCTTGTTATTTTATGTATTAGTGAAACGTGGCTGCACCTAGGTAGGCCTATGTCCAATACTTTTATTAATATTCCCGATTTCAGTGTTTATAGATACGTTTCAGGACGTGGGTGTTGTAGTCTGCATATATGTACGAGATATTCGCTGCAACTGCTAAGATTGCAGACGTAGAGGATATCTGGGTCTCCGTACAAAGCAATATTCTTTTGTCATTCATTATAGGCGCAGTGTGTAGGTATCATCACGGTCCCCCTGAATCCTTTGATTATCTTGAAAAAAAAAAAGTTTTAACAAAAGTCATTGAAAAGGAAACGTCTCTCCATCTCCGGTGATCGGAATGATGATTTAAAGATGCTAAGTACAATGTTATTTAAGAGTCTAGGAAAGATATATTTGCATAAACACTCATTATATTGTGCGATTTACCCAAGCCTTCTGATAGTGTTAACCACGAAATCCTTATAATTAAACTACTAAATCACAAAATGTACACAAATTGCTTCGGAAGTTATTTATCCATTAGAACCCAATCAGTCTAGAGTATATTAACAAAACAGTTTGTATCCTTCGGTGTTCCACAGAGATCTATATCAAGTCCAATCCTGTTCACAATATTCGTAAATGATCAGTCGACCGGAGCCCAAAATTGTCTTTTTGTTCAATACGCCTATGATTCGCTTCTTCATAATAATTCTGTAAGCAGCTTAGATAAATTGATAAAAAAGACTCAATAGACATTGGTTGTTGTCAGAAATCTAGAAGTACACATAGACAGATGACACTTGAGACCCACGCTGACAACTTATATAGAACAGTAATGGGCACATTTACATAAGCCACATAAAAAGAAAAAACATCCCTACTGAAACGAGGATCTCTGTTGTACAAACACTACCTCTTTGTGTTATTAACTATTACTCAAACATATGGGGTTTATTAGGTTCAGAAAACTTAAAAATCACAAAACTTGGCTGCGAGAGTACCACTTGGCAACGTTAATAAGTAGGAGCACTTTACCCCACGCTTTAATAAACTAAAAAGGTTAAGAATCCAGTATACAGGCAATTAAGCTGCTTGCATACTTAGCCATAAAACCGTTCAAGGTTATTATCTAAAGTGGTTCTTTCCCTTTTCATGTATTTGTAACACAACTTATGTCCAAATAAGACAGGTAAACTCTTTATAGAACCAACTTCCACACTGGAACGAAAACATTCAAAACTTCAATATACTTAAGATTAAAGGAACATCCCCTTAAATTACGATTTATGTAAAAATAATGATCATTGTAACAATTGGGATAAAGTATTTATAATTGAAACCGAAAAAAGGCAAAAAACAGGAGAGGCGAATGGGGAGAGGGAGAGAGAGAGAGAGAGAAAGAGAAAGAGAGAAGAGAGACCAAATAGAGAGGATAGAAGCTCGAAGAGCCGAGATCGCCGAGGAGAGATAGATCGAGATAGACAAGGCCGTACTACCGCATCCACTAAAGTACATCAAAAGTAATG